ACCAAATTATCCGCCATTTTAGTGATAAGCTTTCAACGCTCTGTGCCTCTGTTCGCGACGTGAATGACCGCTTTATTGCTGATAACTCGACTAAAGTCGGTCGATGGTGTGAGCACCTCGAGCACCTCCTCAACTTTGATGCGTGACCCATCACACTCTCCCTCTCTAGCCTATGCAGTTTCGTACGACCTTTCTTTCGAACACGAAGTTGCCGATGCAATACAGAGGCTGCGCAACAATAAGGCGTCCGGAGAGGACGGTATTCCCGTCGAAATCTGCAAGTCATGTCTTGCCACCCTAGCGCCCTAGCTCCATGAGATGATAGAGCAAGCGTGAAGAGATTAAGTAGTTCCAAATGACGGGTTCGGGTATCTTTATGCCTGTCTTCAAAAAGGGGAATACGACGAAGTGCGATAAATATCCTGACATAAGCATAATCGAAATTGTTGCGAAGGTCTTCACTATTGTCCTCCTCAGAAAATTCCAGTCTCTACGAGATTCTAGGACGAGGCCCAACCAAGCCGGATTCCGAGCTGGACGTGGATGCTTGGAGGCTAGTTCACAGAATAGAGCGTAACAAATATCAACTAAATACTACTAGGTGAGTGTCGTATGAATGCATGCAACTCAGATATAAGCATGGTCGTGAAGTAAGCCTTGTATACTCACACCCTTGCCTTCTGACTGATGCAGACCTTATTCCTGAGATTTTAGTGGAAGTTGGCAGCGACCACCAGCGTCCGTTTGGTCCAGTATGCTATTTGGCCTTTCTTCTAGCCGTTCTACCGAAAAGTAAATCCGGTATAGCCGAAGCTGAAGAATAATCTGAGAATTTCGCACTTTCATTGTTTCGTAGCCGATGTGGACGTGGTGTGCTGTATTTGTGTGGAAGCACTCTTCTGACACTTGCTGTTATCGGTATAGTCCTGATTAGAGTATGCAGAGAGAGGGAGAGAGAGAGAGAGAGAATGAGTGTGACCTAGTATGTCAAAAAAGACGTCAAAAGAGCGCAGCTCTGACAAATTCAAAAATTACTTCCCATCTTCTGATCTGATTTTGAAGTTCGCCCTATGAGTTAATAAGTGGTACATTTTCGAATATGGTGGGCGAGTTTGTGGCACATGCAGGTGCAGTCTCAGGCACCAGTCACCTGTGGCCTTTATGGCACTCTCTCTTCGGAAGATCTGAGTCTGGCTTGGTGGTTCCGGTTGCCTGCGCCTGGGCCCGCCTGATCCACGCGTAGGTCATCTTCCCTGCAGCACAGGGTGGATATCGTCAGCATCGACGATTGCACTGTAAAAATGTCGAAAGAGCAGAACCCTGAAGAATTCAAAAAGTAACTTCTCATCTTCTGATCTGATTTTGAGTTTCGGCTTATAATTGGTAACTAGTGCATCGCGAGAGGTAAAAGCAACCGCTGTCCTGGATAGGTTGCATTAATGAGATTTTTTGATAGAGTGAAGCAGAATTTCACAGCACCCGCCGCACTATCCCCATAGCCATGGCAAAACAAAGTCATAAGAACCGAAAAAGACACGGATGTGCTTGCCATGCGCGTTGTTTCCTACTCCACACGAATAATATCCAAGGAAGATTGTCAAACCTCAAACGATAGTTTGGAAAGAGCCCTTGCACTCTTATCGTCGTACGCAAAGAAGACAGAGGCGTCTTGTCAACTGGAGGTCCTCCAATTCCTCACTTTTAATCTTTTTCGGATATTTTTAAAGTGTACTTTATTGCTTTCAGTTAGGGCACTGGGAACTGTATGTTTTACCTTTCCTTGTATCAATGGCGCAAATGAACCAAACTGACCGGTGCCGGCATTTGAGCTCTAGGAATGACGGGGCATGAGCCTCTATTTGACGTGCGTCATTCGCGTGTGCGGTTGCATGCAGACGCAGACGCAGCCCGGCCCGGCCGACGCATGCCCAAAGCATAACTACTCCACGTCCTGTCTAGTGCAGCAAAAGCGTGGATAATTCTGATGCCCTAGTACTGTGTTACTGGTCCTATTTCAATCGCAGTATATATTGCCTAGCATTCCGCCATGCAGTTTTTTCGACCGCATGAGGTCTCGGTTGTCAGAGGTAAACACAGCCGTAGAATCTACCAATAAAATACAGCGTCTACTGCATATACGGCTATATTCCAGTAGCGGACCTCCTTAAGGTGTTGGGAAGAGGGCCCCACCTGCCAAGTTCAAAAGAGGGAGTCAGCGCTGGTTCTATCCCGCGCACTGCCTATCTTCTACCGTTATTGCAGGTTAGTTTATAGACTGGTACGTCTTCAGAAGCTGACGCCGCCACTGATGCCGACATTTTCTTAGATAGCTCTCGGAATATTTGAGAATTATTTTAAATGCACGTGGTTCTATGATGTTTTTATCCTCAATACAGAGGTTCGGATACAGTCAGTGAAGTGGATCGTTTAACTGGGAATCTATTTTCAGGGCAACGCTTACTTTCGTTATGTATTCCCGGGATACTTTAGAGAGTATAAGTAAAGAAGAAGAAGACAATTCTTCTGCCGGAACTTCTGAACTCTTTCTGGGGACTACGTTACTTAGAGTCAAACGTTTCTGATTGAAGCTGCCTTAGAGTCTTTGTGGCTTTCCGCATGACAAGAAACCGGTTGTACTTAACTAAATAGAAACCGATGAAAAAGACATTACCCCTGTGATAATCTGTATCACATTTCCTAGCAGCTCGCGACTTGGACTTGGCGTCACGCGACGTCAATTATTACAATTAAATTCATCCTCTTAATGAAATAGCCATAATATAACTGGAGAATGGCACTGCGATAAACTGGCTAAACTTCCTCTCTGTAGATGGTTCCTATTCCAGTCTACTAAACCACATCAGCTGGACTCTAAATAATGCCATGCTGAAAGCCTAATCCAGGGTCCCTGTAATCGCACAGTCTACGTTTGCATTATGAGAGTACTGTTGCGAAATACTGTTTCATTCAGCTGACTATAAAATCTATTTTGCACTTATGTTTTGCTCTCGCAATAACAAATGGCAGGCAATCTTCTCAACTGACCCTCTCAACTTTATTTCTAGGTCTTTGGGAAAATCAAAGGCAGCGAGAAATGAAGCTGTATTCTCGGATTTTTTCCTACCCAGATCCTTTCCCCCCAACATATGATTTGCAACTATTGCGAATAAACAATCCCCGCGCATATAATCTTTTTATTCTTTGAAGACAGATAATCGTAATCTTGATCGAATATGTCTAAGTCAGAGGGGCGGTAAGCGGACAAATGGTAACGTTTCGGGTAATAAACACAAGGGAACTATTTCTACAGCGGCATGTTGGCGTGCTTCTTCCATGGGTTGTCCAGTCTCTTGGTCCTCAGCATCTTCAGGTCACTGCATAGTCGTGCGCGAGTGGTCTGTGGGTCAATTATGTTGTCCACAAAGCCTCTTACAGCCGCTGGGAAGGGATTGGCGAAAGCGCGGATGTAGTTATCTTCGGCAGCACCCTTGTCGTCCTTGCCACGGAAGATGATCTGCACGGCTCCCTTGGCTCCCATGACAGCGATCTTAAATTCGAAGATAAATTCAAAATTATTGAACGGTTTTCACGATGACAAAAAATAGTCAGAAAGTGTCATATTTTCTTACTAAACAGATAATAGGCCTTGAATGCTAGAAACTTACTTCAGCGGTTGGCCAAGCGTAATTTATGTCACCACGAAGGTGTTTGGAGCTCATGACACAATAGGCACCACCATAGGCTTTTCTAGTAATAACGGTCAGTTTGGGAACAGTAGCTTCAGAGTAAGCGTAGATGAGTTTAGCACCATGACGAATGATGCCGCCGTACTCTTGCGCTGTGCCTGGCAGGAAACCGGGCACATCGACAAACGTGAGGAGAGGGATGTTGAAGGCGTCGCAGAAACGCACAAACCTCGCACCCTTTACGGAGGCGTTTATATCCAAGCACCCAGCAGCGACCCGGGGCTGGTTTGCAACAATTCCGACGGTTTCGCCGCCCATTCGTGCAAAACCAACAACAATGTTCTTGGCGTAATTTGGCATAATTTCGAAGAACTCGCGCTCATCTACAATTTCCTAAACAAACAAAGAAGACAGTGTTGAGAAAGAAATTATAGAGTCGTCATTACCTATTGCAACAGTGAGTTTTTCTTTTCTTACATGCACAACATCCTTGATGTTGTAGGCACTCGTAGGTTCTAGAGGCACGGCGGTGTCCAAGGATGGCACCATTCGAGTAACGGAATCATTGCATGCGCGGATGGGGGCAGGGTGCTTATTGGATGAGGGTAGGTAACTCATGAACTCTCTAAGACTCAGGAGGGCTTCCACATCGTTATCATAGGAATTATGGGCAACGCCAGATACGGTAGTGTGCGTCTTTGCGCCGCCTAGCTCCTCCTACAATGTCAGAAAGAAACATTTTTTCAGATCCTATAAGACTACAGTAGAATAAAATATATGGTTCGATCAAAAAATAGGAGTACCTGGGTGACATCTTCGTTCGTTACCGACTTAACGACATCAGGACCAGTGATGAAAAGATAAGAGGTATCTTGAACCATGAATATCCAATCAGTGAGGGCCGGTGAGTAGACAGCGCCACCAGCGCATGGGCCGAGGATCATGGAGATCTGAGGGATAACACCCGAAGCATTTACGTTCCGTTGGAAGATTTCGGCATAGCCGGCAAGAGACGCTACACCCTCCTGGATACGAGCACCACCGGAGTCATTCAGACCAATAACTGGGGCACCAACAAGCATGGCCTGGTCCATAACTTTGCAAATTTTTCTGGCGTGCACCATGCTCAAGCTACCGCCGTAAACTGTGAAGTCCTGGCTGAAAGATATAAAGTTGCGGCCTTTCAAGTAGCGAGACAACGCTTAATGATCTGAAAAAAGTGTTACCCTTCCACTTACGCAAGAGACACTATTCTTATTGTTGAAGCCAAGTTTCCAAAAAATGACGCCTTTCAAGTAATGATAGAAAAACCAAACGGCAAATTCCACTTTTGAAATATATAATGCATGAGTGTGGAATGAAAACTAAATTTCTAAGGGAAACAACAGAAATTGTACTCAAGACGACAACTTAGCCTACCAAGCCCCAGAAGGCGCCAGGAAAGAACGGAGATCGTCAGTTCGTCAATATCAACAAAACAAGCAGACATATAATGTAGTGCTGAAAACTTATTATAGATGGCCTGTTGGCTGTAAATACTCAAATTTCTAACATAAAGATTACCAGTTCCACATAATAAGGATCTATATATGGAGGCGAGATCTTGTCAACATTAAGCAGCATTATACATATGTAGATCGAACACACTAAATTCGGGTTAATGAAGTCAAACATTTATCCAAGTACTGAATAAAAAGAACACAATTTTTAGCGGGAAGTGAACTCTCACTAGGGTTGTAGTTTAACTAGTATTTGGTGATAAGTTATACAAATTCGTATACACCGAAATGAAGCCAAGAATGTAGCCCGCATTGTAGACTGGCAAAGAAATTATTGAATGAATACGGTTCACAAATGGTATGGGCTAACCTAAGTAACCGCTTTGGTGCCAATCGAAAGCTTTTCCTTAAATATTCAGATGAATAAAATGCCTAAGCTTTTTAATGTAATGAGTGACTGAGACAGAGTGCATTATCTAGTAGAAATAATTTTAAAAAACCAATACTTGACACATTCGCCAAAATACCTGAATAAGAAAACTTGTCGACCGTTTATTGTTCCGTGTCCAGTAACGACGCTATCACATGGAGTTTTGTTCTTCTGCATGCCAAACTCGACGCAGTCGTGCTCCATAAATGCGTCATATTCCTGGAAACTGCCTTCGTCGAGAAGCAGGGAAATTCTTTCTCTGGCGGTGAGTTTTCCTCGTTTGTGTTGGGCATCAATTCGCTTTAAACCGCCACCAAGGAGGATTTGCGATCTCCTGTCATTTATCTGCTTGCGAACCTCAAGGGTGTGCGTAGCGCCCGCAATTTCAGTGCGAACAAGCGTCTTCGACACAGCTGACAGAGAACGTAGAGCAGTCTTTGAGAAACGAATCATTTCGTGCTGAGAGCCGCTGAGAACCAAGGTCAGGGAACCGTCAAGGACCGCAATGAATTACCGAGGATTGAAACTATCAAAGCCACCGCCTTATACTCTCAATTTTAAATGTTGTAGTTATAATTTTATTTGAAATAATTTTATTTGAAACATTTGTATTTTGACGTGTATTATTATTTCAGGTATTTTGTTTTAATTGACTTAAATTGGCAGCCGCCATCTTGCCGCACATTCTGCACTAACATGTCGAACGAAGAGAGGAAGACAGACAACAGCGCGGTAACCGAAGTTCTCGTCAGGGAGATCCAAAACATTGACGAAAATGCATTCCCTCAGCTTAAAAGCATTGGCGAGAATGGTAGGATTTGTTCCTCTATTAATATCTCTTAGAACTGTTTCGCCTCCGCGGTGGTATTGCTGATTCGCTCGATTTAGTTGAAAATCGTCGTGTTAAGGTGCGGGCGAAGGTCAATATACCTTCTGAGCAGTATCCATATGTTAATTTTGTCGGAAAGTTATTGGGACCTGGCGGAAAAACTCTTCGAGGCATACAAGATGAGACCAAAACCAAAATGGCTATCCTCGGCGCAGGATCTCTCAGAGACGAAGCAAAGGAAAAGGAATTGCTCTCCAGCGGCGATCCTAAATACCAGCATCTAAAACAGAGTCTCCATTTGCAGATTGACGCTCTTGCGCCCCCTGCTGAGG